CCTGGGGGGTCCCCAGAGGTCCTCGGGCTGCAACGCCCGGAGATCCCGGCCGGCGGTGGGGAAGCCTCCTGGGAATTCTAGCCCAAGCACGCCTGGGGAGGGGGGGGGTCGTGCGCTGCCCTAAACCAGCCTGGTGGCTTGGCTCCAGCAAGCCGACAGTCCCTCCGCCGCTCCTGCCCACCTCCAGCGGTTGGTTATGGGTGTCCGGATGATGGGGGGGGAAACACCACCCCACCCCCGTGGTTTGCCCTAGATGCGCCGCTGCCTCTGGGCAGGGCCGGCCCCAATGTTCTTTGGGCCCCTTGGAATGGAAGGGGTTTGAGCAGGGAGATTGATGGATGCCTTTGGCTTCCCTTCTCACCTCTGATGCATCCGGTGGTATCCACAAAAGTTCCTGCTTTCCTCACAGTGTCACCAAACACTCTCCCCACCCACCCCCGCCCCCGCCTAGGCTGAAACCGGCTCTCTCTTTGAAATGTCTTAATTTCATTTTCTTTTCCACTTCGGTGATCCTCCGAGACCCCTTTAGAATGGAAGAACCAAGGAATTTCTTTTTTGTCTTTGTCTTTGACTTTATTGGGAAACGATCCATGTTCCTCCTGTTAGGTTGTCCCTTCTAGGCAGTAAACCAGGATTTAAAACCTAAAATATAAACCCGAAAAGGATTCACAACTATACTTAAAAGCAGCTTTCTTGTTTACATAGGCGGTGTTCAGTGCTACATTAGGAATCCATCTCATAATTTGACTCTTCAGAGGGAGGGAGTCTGCTTGTGGGAAAACGCAATAATTAGTTAACTTGCAGCCCCTCTGTAAAAGGAATTTGTATGGAAGGAAACTTCTCCCGAAGCAAATGTTGCTGTCGTTAGTGAGCAGAGTAATTAGCATGAATTATGTAACATTTATTTATTTGGAGGTGAACAGCAAGTCATTTATATCTTATTTATTTATGTCACACCTGTGAGAACCATGGGAATATGGGCCAATTAAAGATGTGAAATGTCCCCTCTCTTCTCCCTATTGCATCTTCCTATATTTGTGTTCGCTTTCTTAGATTTTTATTTTTTTATTTTGTATGTCATCGATCTCTTGGAAAAAGTCAACATATCTTTGTTTCATTGGATTTGAAGAAACTTCGGAGAGAGGTTGATAAACTATACTGTGTCTGTAAAATGCAACGCTGTCTCCTTGACTTCCTTGCAGGTGCTCAAAAAAGGAGAATGATCTACGCCTGGCTCTCGATCGCATCAGAGATCTTGACACTCTACTCAACTCCAAAGACGCCGAGTTGTCCACCTCGCTGAGTAGACAGCAAAGCCTGGAGACCAGTCTTCGCGAGTCAGAAGACCAAATCACTTCTGTAAGGAACTGCTCATAAAATCTAACATGTCCTACTGAACTTGTGAAGGTATTCCTTGATTTTCTAGGGGATGCATCTGTTTTAGCTTTATGTTGGGTGGGGGGGGGAGGCATCCTAGTGAACCCTCCATTGCCAGTAGTAATAATTCACTCCCAAAATGAAGGGTTGTGCTTCCAGAACCCTACAGGAAGTCCCATTTTCTACTTTAAAGCTGTTCTGGGGTTGAGGTCTTAGAGATCAGTCATTTAAAAAAAATATGCTGGTTTGCAGATTCCAACAGGTGAGAGAAGCTCCTGCTTTAACCTTCGACCATAGTCCGCTTCTAGGGATTCACCAATTTGTATTTTTGAACTACAGTTCTCAAAAGGCTGTGTGACGACTTTTGGAACTTCTAGTCCAGAAAACTAGATGCAAATGCCTCCTGTTCTGACCGATTTTCTCCTAAATGACAAGCTGTCTATAACGCCTGCTTTTGCTCTTTGGATCTCTCTCTGCAAAAGCTGCCGTTTACTCCCTCTGTCAAATGCACAGACAAAAGAGTTGCAGATGACATCATGCTTAAACAGGGTGAGCCAATGTCTGCTTTTGCCCCGCTCGAAAGGCATGAGGGGGGGGGGATCCAGCTATCAAGAGCCGTCAGCCAGGAATGTATCTCATAAACGCAGGTGACAACTTGGCCACCAGCTGTTCAGGGGGCCTCCAGCTGGAATGCTGGCTCCATTAACCCTCTCCAGTTTTAAACTCTGAACCTTGCAACTTGGCTGTCATCCTGAATCTCTCAAGGAACCCTGGCATTCCCTCTGTTGTAGGTGGAGATGTGTGGTTCCAAAGCATTGTCTGCACGGCCAGGAATTTGCAAGTCTGTGGAAGTACATCGACTTCAGCTTGTCTATGATCTCTGTTGGTGTTAACATTTATGCTAGGTTGTTTTTGCAAGTTAGCTTGTTTCTGATTTCTAACCAGTAGCGTGTGAAGGAATAGAGCATCCTGCCCTACCCTGAGACTCCTCAAATGTGTTGGGATACAACTGGCATTGTCCCCAGACAGGCTGCATTAGATGGATAATATTGTCCTCTGGATTAGATGGACAATATTGTATTTTTAAAAGCAGCCAAACAAGGCATCACACAACTTAAACTCATAGCAACTCCAGTGCCCTTCCCGTAGGCTGATAGACTAAATGGAAACACAGTTTGTTGTTGTTATTGTTCTGTATTGTCAAGTCGCCTCCAACTCATGATGATCTTATGAAAGAGTGATCTCCTCTTCTCAATGCTCAGCTCTCGTAAACTCAAGCCGGTGGCTTCCTTTAGGGAACCAGTTCATCTCCTATTTGGTCTTCCAGATTTCCTGCTGCCTTCCCTCTTTCCACAGGCCAGTTGGGAAGCGATGAAGGAGGACCAGCTTGGGGCTGCTTGGAATATGTTGGCTGGCTGTAGTGTGATCACTCTAGCAGAACAGACTGTTCAGAAAACAGCTGATACCTGTAACTTAAGGGTAACACTCTAGTCTTGTTAACTGGAAGTTGGCTGAGAAATATCTCTTTTTTTTTCCTAGCTGAAGGAGACAGTGAATGATTCAAAAACCCAACTGCAAAATGAGATGTTGATAAGAACAGACTTGGAAAACCAAGTGAAAACTTTGCAAGACCAAGTCGCGTTTCTCAAGAACCTCCACCAAGGCGTAGGTCATGTCTGTCTTCTTAAACTTTGCACAGTCCAGTTGATGCCCTTTATTGAAATCAATGCAAAAATGCATGTTGTGAAGGTTAAAGATCAATAAGCTTATTTGTTGAGTAAAAATAATCTGAGCAGGAGAAATGCCAGGCTCTCTTTTTCTACATGTCTTGTTTTCTATCTTGAGATTTTTGGGAGAACTTGCGTCCATTCTATGGGAAATGGCCCAAGTAACGACTTTGCTAAGAAAGCAAAGGTAGCCAAAACAAAGATCTCAAATCCTTAGTTGAATGGTTCCCAACCTGGGGTTCCCAAAGGTTCTTGGGCTGCAGTTCCCAGAAATCCTGGCCAGCACAGCTAGCAGTGAAGGCTTCTGGGAGTTGCAGTCCAAGAATATCTGGGGACCCAACCTTGGGACACCACTGCAGCTAGCTCACCTCCAAGGTCACAGATGCCCAAGCCTTGACAATCCTCAGATTTCTGTCTCCAAGCAAGATGTTACACATGTTCAGAATCAGACCGACAGACAGTCAGTCTTTGGAGCTGAAAGCAATGGTGTGTGCTTTTGAAAACTCTGGTTTTGTTTTCTTTAGTGCCAACTGTACTCTCGTGTTGTGTTAGCCTGTTAAGTCCTGTCTCTGGCGTGCATCTTTCCTTCTCTTAGGAGCTCAAGAGCAAGAAACAGTTCTACCAGAGTAAGATTCAAGAAATTCAATCTGGCCAGCAGCAGGAATTGGAGAGTAAATTGTTGAATGCCCTTCAAGAGCTCAGAAAGGAGCAGGAACAACAGATCCAGGAGTATAAAGACCAGATGGAGAGGAACTTTCAGGCCAAAGTAAGTGGTCAAGCTTATTGCTGCTACTGCTGTGCAGTCATGGCTTGGGCTAAAAATCCTGGTTTCCCCCCTTCATTGTTTTCTATAAGGATGTCCTCTTCATTATCTGAGAAGGGGAGAAAAGAGGTGTCTGATGAAAACAGGGCTGGCTGGAAAGTTCAGTGGTTTGGGTATCTGGCTGCGGAAAATTTGCCTGACCCCAGGATGGTAAACCATGCTCCCGCCTCCTTGGGGTTCAACTAGACTAGGGTTGCGCTGCAACATTCTGTTGTCGTTTGGCACTGATCATCATGAAATAAAAACAGGGATGCTTGGAAATGGCAGGATAGCCCTGCATTGCCTATTTAGAGCCCAGAAGGTGTAAAATATCAACCGTGAAGGCCAGAGTAGAGAAAATTATCCATCTAACCATGCCTGACATAATCACAGTTCTCGTATGTGTTTATCTAGGAATAAGTTTTCAATGAACTCAGTAGGCGAAAGGAAACCAACGTGGAGGAGAAATCTCTCAGGGTTCTCCGGCCCACTGTCCTCAGACTGAAGATGCTACTTGGAGGAGTAGTGGAACGTTTCAACCTAATAAGAAAGGTTTTATCTGGGATATTATCATAAACCTAGCCATCTGTTGAGACTCAGTGTAGCTAAGGCCCCAAAGAAGGGCACCGCTTTCTGTGCTGAATGGAACAATTATCTACTTTCGCATGTCAGAGTCTGTCCAAATCAAAGTACATGGTGCAAGTTGACTTTCTGAACTGATGTTTCCCCAGATTGAAAATGTCCAACTTTCTGCAGTCGTAGACAGCGATTCTGCCCACCGGGCTCTGGAGGAACTTGCTGAATCCAAGCAGAGAATTGAGATGCTGGTGTTACAGGTAAAAAAAGAGGGGCTGCCAGCAGTCATCCTGGAAGAGGGATCAGGCTCCTCTTCATGTCTTTATAATATACGTCCTTCTCTTTAAAAAGTTTCCCTGTTCAAACCGGCGGTGTTGACTAATAGGAAACCATTGATCTGAAATTTTAGAACGGCGCTTTGGAAGAGAAGATGAGAGACCTTGCAGCCAAAGTGAGGGAGCTGCAAAAGACGGCCGATCACGAACGGGACTCGTCCGCGAGGCTTCTGGCTGAGAAGGAGAAGGAGGTGGCAGAGATCCAGCAGCAGATGCAAGCTCAGCTGGAAGAGTACGAGCATCTCCTGGATGTAAAGCTGGCTTTGGATCTTGAAATCAGTGCCTACCGGGCTATGCTGGAAGGAGAGGAGAAGCGGTGAGTTTGGAAATGCCGTCCAACCACCTTTAAGAAGGAGGTGGGTTTGGGACGGGGCGGGGGGGAAGAGCCGAAGAGCAGCTTTTGAGAGGTGGGTTTGGGACGGGGGGAAGAGCCGAAGAGCAGCTTTTGAGAGCCAGGATGATTTGAGGGTTGGTCTGACCCTTGGGAAATCCAAGTACAAATTCTTTCTAAGCCATGAAAGGTCAAGGACATCTTTAGCTCTAATTGCACACACAGTTTTGCTATAATCTGGTCTACCTTACAAGGTTGTTATGGGTGAAAGTGAGGTCCAGAAACATAACGTGTTGAGCATCATGTGCGGTTTCCTTCTGGGTCACCTTCTTAAACCTGCAAACGACACAGATCTGACTTCCATGCCGTGTCGTGTGGGCTATGGCAAAAGGGTTGAAGAACAAGTCTTCCCAGAATCTGTTTGGTCGGCACATGGAAGTGACCTCCCCATTTGAAATCTGGCTTGTTTTTATAGCTTAAAACTGTGTGGAACATCCTCAGAAAGTGGTGGGGCACACACCGCCGTCCATCAGGGTCCCCACTTCTTCCTGCAAGGGAGGAAAAGGAAACGGGTGTTCCCCAAAAGGCGGGTCTACAACGTGAGCTCCAAAGTGGTCCAGCGGGCTTCCTCTTCAGGGAGCATCTCCATCGAAGACATTGACCCCGAAGGGAAATTCATCCGAATTAAAAACAATTCAGACAAGGTAATTTTAAACGCTGATAACCTCAGACAAATAGGTGGCCCTCTTCAATCCTCCCAAGGGATCGATCTCTTTCTTTTCTTTTCTTTTCTTTTCTTTCTTTTCTTTTCTTCTTTCTTTTTCTTCCATTTCTTCCTTCCTTCCTCCCTCCCTCCCTTCCTTCCTACTAACCTACCTACCTAATTGGGTTGCTGGTTCTCTGTAGGGCAGTTTCAGAGCAAGGGAGAGGATGGTTTTGTCAAGGCTTAAGGATGCTTATTTACTGAGTCGCCACCCTCTTCGTTCCCACTGGCTTGCGTATCTCCAATCACTCTCCCCAGCTCTCAGACGCTGGGGGTTTGTTATGGGAAGGGAGCTTTGCCTTGGAGGGGGCCAGGTAGAGTTTCAGCCCTAAGTAGCCCCGCACGATGGATACGCTTTCTCTAGAAGGCCCGAGCCGGCGCGGTGCTGCGGATCTTCCTGCAGAACATGCAGGCACAGGGCTCTGGTGATCTGGATTCCAGGCTGAATGCAGGAAGGAGCAGTTTCCGGCGTCTGCTCAAGAACCCCCCGGGGGTGGTCTTGTACCGTGCCTCGTTGGTGGAGGTGTCGCCGCAAGGAGGGGGGAAACCTCCCGAATCCACCCATTGTCTTACACACTGTTTGGCTTACAGGACCAGTTGCTCACAGGGTGGACCATCCGAAGGCAGCGCGGGAATGAATGTGACGTGATGTACCAGTTTCCTGCTCGGTTTACGCTTCAGGCTGGTCAAGTCGTTACAGTGAGTGGGGGGGGGGAGGGAAAATGTCTCATTCGTTTTCTTGCTTTTTTAAAGGAAACGTAGACCTTTTTTGGAAGGGGGGGAAACCCCCACACACACTATTTTGACATTACACTGACATTACACTGGGACTTTTTGGAGAGCAAAGACTCTCATCATCATCATCTACTATCTCAACCCCTGCACTTCATTATCCCCTCTGAGATTAGCTGCACTCCTCTCAACAGCTGGGGGGGGGAATCAAGTTTCCTCCAGAAAGGGTATATTGTGGCAAGCTACACCTGTTGCAGGCATTGATGATGGTTTGGTGTTGAATAGGCAATTCAGAGCCATAACCTTTGCAAAAGACCTGACGCTTCATAGTGGATGTGCACCAATTCCGTGTCTGGACTCTCCCTTATGGGACAAGAGGACTCTTCTGAGTGGATAGGGCAGCACTGGGGAGTGTCACAAAGAGCCCCCACCCTTCCCAATTTGCCAGTGCAAAACCCCTTCCAGATGAGCACCTGCTTGGATGGTAAGGGAGCGGCTGCCTGTTTGTAATGCCGATGGATTTCCAATCAGATGCTTCTCTCTTTTGAAGATCTGGAGTGCCCAAGAAGGTTCTAGCCCAGGTTCCGGTGTGCACGTCTGGAAATCCCCGCAGCCCTGGGGAGTCGGCGAGAACATCAACATCACCCTTCTCAATGCAGAGGGCAAAGTAAGTCCCACCCAGCCTGCCCTTCACGCTGCGTGAGACTCCACAGTGGGTCCTGCTCTCAACGGAGGGGGTCATTTTCCTTGCAGGAGACAGCAGAAGGAAAAGTTACTTGTGTGGACAGAGGAGAAGGGGACGGAGAAGCAGAAGAGGCTGCTGACGAAGAAGAGACGGAGCTGCGCGGTCAGGTAGGTGCCTCAGGTGAGCTCCCCAATGCTGGTGGAAAGGAATAGCCGCGATTTGCCTTGCTTTCTGCCTGGGGGAAGAGCTTCACTGCACCCAAAACTGTCCTGAGGACAAGTACTTCTCGGGACATGGTAAAACTTTACTGTCGTTCATTCCTTGATGAGTGAGGGAGGAAGGGAAGAAGTTAAGGGAGGAAGGGTGGGGACGGATGAGGAGAAGGGATGGAGGGAGGGAGGAGAGGGATGCTGATGAGGGAGGGAGGAAGGGAAGAAGTTAAGGGAGAAAGGGTGGGGACGGATGAGGAGAAGGGATGGAGGGAGGGAGGAGAGGGATAAGAGGAAGGGAGGGAGGAAGGGTGGGGTCAGATGAGGAGAAGGGACGGATGAAGAGAAGGGATGCAGGGAGGGAGGAGAGGGATGAGAGGAAGGAAGGGAGGGAGGGGTCACTCTCCCCTAGTTCTGCCTCAGACATCAGCTTAGATCTGTAAACCTAGCATAGCAAGACAGGGCTCAAGAGCCTGATTGTGGGGTCCTGAGAGCACACTGTACCTCCTCCCAAGGGAGCTGGGCATCACCTGCTCTTCTCTCCCTGCAGCAAAACGAAAGTCGCAGTTGTCCCATCATGTAGCAGAGAAAGGACGTTGACCAGATGCGGAAGGTTCTCGGACCTTTGAGATGGTGCGCCCTGATTTATCCACTGAAAATTGGCCGCTTCAGTCAGGGAAGCCACACTGGAACTCCAGGAACGTTTTCATTCCCGTTCCTGAGATGCGGGTGTTGCCCTTGAATGGGCTGGGTATCTCTCGGAGTGGAGTGATTCAAGATCGAAGAAGGGCCGCTTCAGGCAGGCAAGCCACATGGGAACTCCGGGAACGTGATTCAAGACCGAAGAAGGTGCCTTTCCCCCCCAAACAAGAAAAATCACAAAGGACTCGGAGCAGAAGCAGGTGTCAAGTTAGGATATCAGAGGGTGGCAAGAACTGTCTCCCAAACATTCACTAGCCTGTGGTAATAATCTCTCGGATGACTTCTGCTTCCATTCTGGCAGGCAAGCCACATGGGAACTCCGGGAACGTGATTCAAGACCGAAGAAGGTGCCTTTCCCCCCCAAACAAGAAAAATCACAAAGGACTCGGAGCAGAAGCAGGTGTCAAGTTAGGATATCAGAGGGTGGCAAGAACTGTCTCCCAAACATTCACTAGCCTGTGGTAATAATCTCTCGGATGACTTCTGCTTCCATTCTGTCAGCCTGAAAGCCAAATCCTGTCCGCTTTATCCAGAGGGAAAATACAAGACGCTTCTCAATTCAACTGTGGTATCCCAGTTGTATTTAGATCTGCTTCTAATCGCCTCCAAATGTCCAAACAGAAAGCTGTGGTCATCACACCTGTCTTTCTCTATTAGCTAGTCACTCCTCCCTTGCATGCACATGCGCATGCCCGCACACATGCGCACTGCAAAATGGCTTAACTCTGTTCCCCATGGATGTGAAAGATTTTACTGTCTCCCAAGAAGGAACAACTCGTGGTCCTCCAGCTGACGTTGGGCTGGGATTCCCCTGTTAACTGTGCTATGACGGATGATAGCTGCAGTCCACAAACCCTCCAACTGACGTTGGGCTGGGATTCCCCTGTGAACTGTGCTGACTATGACGGATGATAGCTGCAGTCCACAAACATTTAGTACGCAGGTTGCCCTCCTCACCATCATCCTCCTTGTGAGCCTGGGACCCATCCCAGCCAAGGGACCTAGTTGAGAGACGGCTTCTTGAGGACTAAGCAGCTGCCACAGCAACATTAATATTATTTGTGGTGTTGCTGCAAAATAATGTTTCGGTAGTTTCCGACCTATGGGGGTTGCGTGCCTGTTTTGGGGAGGAGCATGGGTTCACCCAGGAGGAAAGTAGCTGGCATTTCAAACTTCTCAGAGTTTCGAAAAGTTACTTTTGGGACGTCGGTCGCTGGAATTCCCCGGCTATGCCGACTGGGAAAGGGGAAGTTAATCGTCCCCAAAAGTAACTTGTCTGGGTCCCTTCCTTTCTTCATCTTGCCCTAGCACAGTAAACCGGGAGCAGCTAGTCTGTTGGGGCCGTGCAAAACAGGAGCAGCGAAATGCTGGAAGATGTCACAACCCCTCTACATTTCTGTCATGCTTGCTTTCCATGGGGGAAGCAAGATATTGCACTCCCAGGCTCTGGGTTGACTCTATGCCTTGTATTAAACAACACGTGGACGCTTCTTGCTACAACTCCCAATGACGGAGCAGGATTGTTTTAGTAAAACCTCTTTTTTTCCCCCTTCCACTGGGGTTTCTTTTCAGTTGGATTTCTGTTGTCACTCAGATATTTTTAAATAGCTGATATTAAATTATGACTATCCATTCTGGCCTCTACTGTTTTAGCAGACCTCTCTGTTTCACGGTGGCCCTTCCTGATGTCGAAGTGGGGAACGAGAGTTTCCTGGTCTTGTGTGAGTTTAAAAGGGAGGACCACGTCCAACACTTGCTTTCTATTAAAGTTTATCTTCTAAACCGTTGATGACTCCTTATGGTATCTGAAGCAACCCCGTTGGTTTTTGGCAGGTCCGGTTGTTAACTGTCTATATTTGCACAAAGAAAGATTTTTTTAAAAAAAAATGCATGCTGCTTATATACCGTCTCATAGTGCTTACAAGTGGGTGGTTTACAAGTTAATTATGCAGGCTATCCATTGCACTCCTGCCCCCAGCAAGCCAGGTACTCAATTTACCAACCTCAGAAAGGATGGAAAGCTGAGTGAACTTTGAGCTGGCTCCCTGGCATTGAACCCAGGTCCTGAGCAGAATTTCAGCTACTGTACTGCAGTTTAACCACTGCACTAGATAATAAAAACATGATACAAAATAGAGGTTGAATTTCTTATCAAACCTAGTAGTCATGAATATATGAGTGATCTATTTCCTTTAAGACCGAAAGCCTTTCACAGCAGTAAGAACTCTGAAATCTAGCTCTTTGTGTAGTACAGAAATTTTCTTTGATGGTTAAGAGCCACATACAGTGGTGCCCCGCTTAACGATTACCCTGTATAACAACGAATCCGCTTCACAACGATGTTTTTGAGGTCGCAAAAAGATGTTTGAATTGGGTTTTTTCGCTTAGCGACGAGATCGCAAAACAATGTTTGAATGGGGTTTTTCGCTTAGCAACGATTGGTTCCCTGCTTCGGGAACCAATTTTTCGCTTTACGACAATTTTTCAAGAGCTGATTGTCGGGTTTCAAAATGGCCACTGCTGTGCAAAATGCCCCCCTGCTGTTTTTAGGACTGATTTTTTGCTCTACAGGCACCGGAGAATGGCCACCCTATGGAGGATCTTTGCTCTACAGAGCTGATTGTCGGGTTTCAAAATGACCACTGCTGTGCAAATTCCCCCCCCCCTGCTGTTTTTAGGACTGATTTTTCGCTCTACAGGCACCGGAAAATGGCCACCCTATGGAGGATCTTTGCTCTACAGCGATTTTGCTGAAACGAATTAATGTCAAGCAAGGCACCTCTGTATAGTGAGTTACAAGGCACAGCAGATACAGTTTTTCCACAACATTGCTTTATTACATTTGGTCAGTGCAGAATAAGAATTTGACTGTGACATTTACTGAGTTAACAGGGACATTTTCGCTTCCAAGGGGCACGACAGGGTATTAGCTTTTCACAGTTAAAGGGTAACAGAAGTGGCTCAGTGACTGTTAACATTGCCCACAATAGCTTGGAAAAAATGTACCCACAAAGAAATATTCGTCGCTGGCCGAATGGCTTTCTGATCTCACGAGAGCACATCAATGCCCTTTTTGGGGAGCGACTGTCAAGAAACACCTCAGATCTTCAAGGCACAAAGCAAAGGAGGTCAAGACATCTCTCCCCCCTCACACATTTTCATGTAACAAAAGGGAAGAACTCTGTATATAATATATATATATATATGTATGTATGTATATATGTACAAACTACATGGATACAAAATAAATACATTTTTAAAAGACGCATACAAAAAAGTCGGCCGAAAGAAGCAAGGCTTTTGTCGAATGCCGCACGTAGGAAAAGACCACTCGGAGGCAACGAGGACACCAGCCAGCTCACACAAGGATATCCGCAGCTGGAACGACAAGAGGATGCGCACTCACTGGGGCAAAGGCACCACAACGGCAACATAACTGATGGGGAAGAAGCCAGACTGGCCATTTAACATGCCTTCATACCAGTTCTCATCGATCTGGTTGGTCAACGTGATGAGGTCGCCTTCCTTGAAACCAAGTTCCCCTTCGTTTTCCGGCTCGAAGTCAAACAAAGCTTGACAGCAGGGTTGGTCCAGGTGCAAAGTAGAACCTGCCCAGAGTCAGAAAGGGAGGAACACAATCCCTTCGTTTAGTTGAGCGCTGATTTCCAAAGATCTCAGGCAAAGGTTGCTAGCAACCAAGCCCCCATTCCAGCTGTATACATACTCGAGGAACTCTGGCATGGTGTAAAACCCACGGATCCAATCCATCGGCTCTAGTTGGGATCACCCATCAGCTGCTACGCTCTTTGGAACCCCAAAATTTTGATTAAGAACCAACAGACATGTTCTAGATGGGCGGGGTGTAAGTCAAATAAATAGGAGAGCCCAACTGGACTTCTAAGGGAGAACCACAGGTTTTCTGTTGTGTCTCTGTATGATGGCTTCTCCACTGATACAACACAGTGGGAGCCGATTCGGCAGGTAGGATCCCACCTAGCTTTTCCACAGTTTATGCCCTTGGATGTAATATGCAGCAGTTACTTGTACCTGCTGAAAAATGTACCCGCTGCACGTGGGCCTGCTCTCCTTTTAAAGGCGTCTAGCTTTGTTGACTCTATGGGCTTAGTGGAAAAAGTGCTTAGAAATGCACTAAGGTGGGGGGAATTAGAACCCCTATCAGGGAGTCATCTCATGATAACATGGGGAGACTGATGAGGGAACCAGCCCGGTGGGCATCTAACAGATAAACTTTACAGAGGTTTTGGACTTCAAATGTGCCACAGAATCAGACTCAGGTGCTCACCTGTTGATTTCACTGATGGGCTGAACGAAACCCCATTCTGCTGTTGGCCATGGCTGACATCCAGCGGCGTTCTTATCACCGGCTTTGGCTTGAATTCCTGTCTCGGACGACTGGACGCTATGTTTATCCTGGAAGAGGGCAAGGCTGAAGGTTAGCTGTTTGTCGCGGTGAAGCTGCAGACAGCCACACAATGATGAGCTGTTCCTATACCCATGGGATGAACCGCCAGACCCACTTCTCTCGCCCTAAACTCAGCTTCCCCCTGAAAGTCCTTGGCCTGCAAATAATTAAATCAACACAGACTAGAAGCCTGAATTTGATGCCTCAGGCCAATGGGAAATTCCCAAAATTAGAGATCAGCGCATCTAAACAGCTACAGAGTGTAATACTGACTCCTCCATCTTTAGCACCCATAGAATGATGAATGACTGTTGGGGGGGAAAGGTCACATCCATTTTGGGGGTGACCTCCTCGCCTGCTTGGACTACGAGACGAACAGGACAGGAGCCAGCACCTCCGAAAGCTGCCCCATCAGGACTTGAGAGTTGCTGGAAGCTTAACCCGTCCGAGATCCCCTTCTTACCTGTTTTGTAGCTTGTCCTGCAAGTCTTCTAAAATTTCCGTGGACTGTTTATGATAGTCGAGGGCAGATTGTATGAAGACCAGCAGTTGGCTCACTTGTTCTATCTAAACAGTGGGCAGCAAAAAAAGAAATACAGACGTGGTGGGTTTGTGTGATCTTTGAATGGGAAGCCAAAACCAAACAGGCAAAAGTTCAAATTCTCATTGGGCCAGGAAAGTCCGTGGGGGACTTGGGGCCAACGATACTCTCGCAGTTTGATCTCACTGTACATGTTTTTTAGGAAGAAAAATAGACAGGGAGGAAGAGAGCCATGTAGACCATCTGGCGCTCACCAGAGGAAAAGTAGGATTTAAATATATATATTTTTTCATAGCCGTGATAATCCAAGGAAAAGCAATCTAGCTAAATTGCGATACGAATTGCAGTTGCATTTGTCTCTGAAACTCAGTTCATGCATGCTGCTTAGCAAGCTCCCGCATTCTTCAGAACTTACCATTTCCAACAACGCTACGACCACATATAACACACAAATGCAAAGCGTAACAGGAGAAGCTTACATCGTTTTCCAAAAAGTTGAACATGCTCCTTTCGGCCAATTCTTTGGACTCTTCAAACTTCTCCACAGCTTGCTTGACTTCCTCGTCGGGTATCTTCCCTAGACGCTTCTTTTTGTAATCGTAATCCAAACGGCGACCTTCTAGTTTCTTCAGATGGTGCTGTTGTAAGCAATTTGGAAAAGCACGGGGAGAGAGGAATAGATTGGTTACAATCCAACAGCAAGAAGAGCCCCCACTGGCCAGGAGCCCAGAGTTTTGTTCTTTTTATTTTTCAAACAGGGTTGAGTCAAGAATGAGATTCTGCTGATCTAGGGAGCTGGAGAAAGCAAAGTGGAATTATATCAGCCATACAGTATAGAGATAGACAGACAGAGATTTTGGTTGGTTGGTTGGTTGGTTGGTTGGTTGGTTGGTTGGTTGTTTGGTTGTTTGGTTGGTTGGTTGGTTGGTTGGTTGGTTGGTTGGTTGTTTGGTTGGTTGGTTGGTTGGTTGGTTGAGGTTAGGTGGATGAGGTTAGGTGGATGGATGGATGGATGGATGTATGGATGGATGGATGGATGGATGGATGGATGGATGGATGGATGGATGGATGGTGAGAGAGGGAGAGGCAGGGAGGGCCATGATGGGCAGTTCACAACAGAATATGACAATACACAACAATTCTAATAAAACAACCTTAAATTATATTATACAACTAAATTATATCAACATACATTTCACAATAATATAAAAGACAACCTATATTAGACATTTTAACTTAAATACAGTGCAACAGAAAATTTAATAAAACATTCAGATGGTGGTCATTGGTTAGATAGAAGGCATTCCTTTGAAAATTGGAAAGGGAAGGGAGAACATGTTAGTTACAGGGACCAGAACTGCCCTTTCCCGTGCAGTTGGACTGCAAACTCAAGAAGAACTCAAGAAGGCACTGCCGTTGCTTCCCTTTGAACACCCCTGCCATGGGAATGACTCCTCTACAGGTCTGGGACCTTTGAACTTTCTCCAGCAGACCAGCCCACCTCTCCGGGGGGATCAGCCAAGCAAGAGAGGAGCTCACCCCGATCTCTTTCAGATCTTTGTCTTGCAGCAGTTGCAGAGGATCGATGAAGTTCTGCTTGACGTTGATGTCCAGCGAGTCTTTCACCTCCGCCATCTGCTTCATGCTTTCGCCCACATCCATCAGGGCTGTGCCTTGGAGGCAAAGAAGGAACACTTTGGCATCACTCACAATATATCACTTCTGGGAGGGGGGGAACCCCCCACAATGAACCAAGGGAATGAATTCACACCCTCCCTCTCTACTCCCTGTTCTCATACGAGCTGATTTCCATTTTTCTGTCTTTTCCAGCCATTCCACACCCTTTATGGTTGCACACAGCCTCGCGCCTCAAGGGGGCAGCATATCCCAGAGCAAAACTCAGAAACTCCCACTCCATTTAAAAAACAACTACAATTCCCAGAAGTCTTAGGCAGCCATAAGCCAATAAGCCCTGGAACCTGTGGCAAAGGGATGGAGGTGGGGTCTCCGGCAGGGCACAAAAAAGGAACTTTTATCTCCCTCCAGCACTGCGAGCTCACCAAACACAGAATCCTCTCCAAGTTCTCTCCCATAGCGCAGCATGCAATCCCCAAGCAGACCTTCCGTCTGGGGATAACCAGTGGTTTTGACCTGCCCTCGGATCTTGGACACTGTGTTCAGCATTCCCAGTCTAGCCCTGTAGGCCTAGCCCTGTAGGCTTAAAAGAGAGAGAGAAAGAGAGAGAGGGTGACCAAGACTGGCATAAAAGAGCACAATGACAAATAGTTAAACTAGGACATCCATCCATCTCTGTGCCTCTCCCAGAAGCCAGCACCTTTTAGTTACTTTTTAAAAGGCAAGAATATGTATTTTTGGATAAAACAGGCCAATTTTGAGAGAAATTGCACTTTGAAACAAAGCTCGTAGGAGAAAAAAAAATTAAAAAAACAAATGATTAATTACTTCAACGGTTTTTAAAAAATATTCCATTGAAACCCATAATAAGAACAATGTTATAAGCACAAGTAAAACACAGAATAAAACGTTCCCTTAAAAAAACTCATCATCATCCCCTGGGTCAATCAGTCCTTTAAAGCAGTGGTCCCCAACCTTGAGCCTCCAGATGCTCTTGGACTACAACTCCCAGAAGCCTTCACCACCACCTCTGCTGACCAGGATTTCTGGGTGTTGAAGTCCAAGAACATCTGGAGGCCCAAGGCTGGGGAGCCCTGCTTTAAAGGAAAGCCTGCCTGAAGAGGCTTTGGGGAAGGACAGCCAAGAGGGCTCATGATTGGAGAGAAGGAAACGTGGACGACTTCTATCTTCGGACCTGCAGGGTTGGCACAACCACGCTATTAAACCTCATGGGAATGTGGTAAGTAAAGCTGCCTTTTTGCTGCTCTTCTGTGGGAGGGCAGAAGGTGGCCATGGTTGGAGGACCCTGAGATACGTTGTTTTATCGAGAGAGAGAAAGACAGATCTATCCGGTCAGCCATGCCAATTCCGCAGCACCTCTTCCAGGGGTCTGGAATTCCTTCCCTCCATAACCATCAGTTAGGACAGAGTTTAACAACATCTGGAAAAGCAGAAACTCCAGTCTTTTGGTCCAGAGACTCTTGGGCAGGTGTTGTGGTTTTTTGGCCTATTGCTTGGTTCCAGGGCTTAAAGCTGGGGTCCCCATCATAGAAAACCAGAGTTCACCCAGGGACCCTCAAATTGATCACTGAAGCCAGTGGGTGTTTCCCGAGTAGGTCAACCACTGCAGAATCCGTCCAGTCTTGCTCAAGTCCAAGCAGACCTTTACACACACACACACCCCGAGCCAGCAGTGAGTCAGATTTCGGTGGGCTCTGCACACAAAGCATCGTTTATTCCTAGCCGCCAAATCTGACTGATGAATAATCCATTCCTTCTCAAAAAGGCACTTTGTGAATGACGCCAACGGGCGGCCGTTGTCACGGCTGCCACTCAGTGGGTATGTGCCTGGATGCGTGAACTTGAGCTCTAGACAATAATGAGATTTTTCTGTCCTAACCACTCACCCAGGTGCTTCTTCCCCCTTTCGGCTCTTCTTTTCCCATTCATTTTATCTTGACTCACTTCTCATGACGTCACCCAAGTATTATGACTTCTTAGAGACAAACCCTGCTGGATTCTACCACATCCATGAAAGCAATCACATACACAAATGTTGCATTTTCTTCATTGCATGTCCAGGTGCAGAATCAGACACCCAATGTCATCCCTCCAGATTCTGCACTTCCGTTCTGAATTCTGCGACACCATTCTTGGTTCATAAAATGCACCAAAGGCAAGAATGTGTATTTTTGGATAAAATAGGCCAATTTTGAGAGAAACTGCACTTTGAAACAAAGCTCGTAGGAGAAAGCATGTTTCTAAAACACCTATTTCAGGACGTGTTTAAATATACTGATTTTCATGCAGGTTTTAAGACAAATGCAGAAAAAGGATGGAGTGAACGAAAGGACAAATGGAGTGAACAAACTTGCATCAACTCGGGGGGCAATATTTATGTCTGTTTTGTGGCTGCTCGTGGCAGTAACGCCTACATACAAAAAAAAGGAGAGAGACCCAACCCTCCAACAGAATGGAAAGACAGCCATTCAGAATGAATCCCACGTTTCACACAATTGTGTCGCTGTTTCACAAGGAACGTCGCATAATCACAGCAGCAGCAGCTGTGTAGAAGAAAATAAGACTAATAATTAGTATCATTATTTCCAACCCATTTCAAACACCAGCTTCTTTCAAGGGGCGGGGAGAAAAAAGCTTCACTAACAAAACTGTTATGGTTTCTCCTCAACCCTTCAATGGGTAGCCTCCGGTTGTAGGTTCATGGGTGAATATTGTGCCCCGCCAACGGAACCGTTCTTTGCCCGAGGCCATTTTTCCATGGATAAAGTAGCGGGTGTTCCAAAAATGCTGAAAATGAAGGATACTTCTTATTTATTTCTACATAGCCTTTTTTTGTCGAACCTCCACCATCCTCACCAGTATACCTTAACAGCTGCTGGATCCCTTTTTCTTGCTTGAGGGGTTCTGATCGCTTCCACCTCTGTGGCATGCTTGAATCCCCACGGTATAGAATGAGTGGGACGGACATGCCATCTAGAACAGCGGTTTCCAAACTGGGGTCGACAGAGGTTCTTGGATGGCCACTTTCAGAAATCCTGGCCAGTGATGTGAAGGCTTCTGGGAGTTTTCCTCCAAGAACATCTGGGGACCCCAGTTTGAGAATCACTGATCTAAGTGTGCATCAAGCTGAATAAGCCCAGCCCCCAATGTTCAAAACATACTGATCATGTCAACAAGCCGTAGGTCCTGATTTGATGCAAGACACTGGAAAGCTGATTTTTCTGATGGAAGCAACGATGTGTTGAGGGCCACCTAGGTTGCTATAAAGATTCCCATTTGCTTTTGTTTCTTACCTGGATTGGGCTGGAGATATTCCGTGGCTTTGGACAGAAGCTCTGCCACAGCTTTGTTGGTGATCTCAATCTTCTGCAAGAAAAGCGCAACGAAGGTATGAGGGCAACCTCTCCTACAGACGCCCACGTCCCCTGTTCTCTCTCCGATCCTTACAGAGGCAAAAGCATGTACTGATCTAAATAATCAGCCCCATATAATTACATAACGTAGCTCTTCTCCAAATGGAGCATGCTGAATTCTAAGGGGAACGGAGGGTAGGAGCTGAATTCCTTTTAAAGAAAAAACAACAATCTGTGTGTCACAAACAACTTTGAGCATGGCCAGAGACTCTGCTTACCCTTTCCATGTCTTGAAAATCATCGTCCAATTTCGTTCCTTCGGCTCCACTGATCTTTTCACTGAAGAGCTGCAGTGGGGTGGGGGGAAAAAAACAGTGGCCTTGAAATAATACAGAAACAAAGAACAGACCCTACAGGGGAAAAAAAAGTGGCCTTGGAATAATACAGAAACAAAGAACAGACCCTACACAATGCCGGGAACATGCATGGAAAAGTCTTAAGAGAATCACAAGTCAACAACATACATGGTGAGTATACAAGGCACTATGACCACCAAGAGGAGTTGTGTTTTAAAGGGGCTTGAATCCACTCTGTCCTCCCACATGTCCCAGACAATCAGACACTTGAGAAGGCTTGGAAGCCTTTTCTTAACACCATATTCATAGTCTCTTTGTTCATTTATGTTCCACCAGACTTCCTATCCTTCTGAGAAAAGGATATGGCAGCCAAGCATCCTACCTCCTCAAAGGGAGGAGGAAATTCTCCGCTTGGCAAACTGCTCGAGGACAGAACCTGACTTTGAAGACAAGAAAGAATCCTTGGTAGCTTCTTCAGGCTCATCAGTTTAGGGTGTCTTGACATGATGAGAAACCTCAATGGGTCTTTCCTTGCCCAAAGGCCACAACAAGCCAAAGAAGGATTTTTTTTCCTCCTCAAGTGCTCTGTAAATTTGCACAAACCATATCTGTGCAAAATCAGTCTCCTTTGTAAAGCAGAGCACACAACACACATTGGCTGGCATAAAAAAAGATTCGAGCAATCCATCCGATGCTTCTGATTCTTAACAAATCCATGCAACAAACCAGCAGCTTCCTTCCTGTTGCCCCATCTGTGTGACTTGCGTGAAATTCCCAATGCTTCTGAATCAGCCAAAAATTGGCTTCTTGTTCCCTTCGCTTCTCAAGAGCAACACACACAAAAAATACCCCACCTTCTTGCAGGGGTAAGGAGAATGTTTTCCAGTCCTCATCCTTGTCCCTGAGGATGAGACCAACAAGGAACTACATCCTGTTCTGCATCAAGGGCAGGCAACTCCAAAGGAACCGAGGCTGAATATACACAGAGAGATATAGAGGGACCTCATTTATTCCGACCCTGCTTTACTCCCACTGACTTTGTTCACATCCCAAGCCAGCTAAACCGCTGGAAAAGACACTCGGGCTCATAGGCAGCTCGTGACCAGGCAATGGGGCACGTCCACACACAGAATAAAGCAACTTGGGGAGGTGAGGGACCCTCTCATTCCATCCTGAAAGCTGCCATGGCTATTCCTGCTTCCCTCTGACTCATAATCATCCTCCCCATCTGCCCCAAGGGGCCAGTTAACCCCCCTCTGCTCTGCCTACCCCTCCTGCAGATGCAGCCTCTATCCTGGCTATCTACAGGGCTTCCTCTTTCACCCTCCGCCCAGAAGCCGTGTTGGGCTCCCCAGCCTGCTCTCCCAACCACCCACTCCTCCTTCCTCCTTATCACCCCTTTCCACCCTGTCCGAAGCCAACTCCACCCACCCACATGCCAAGGCTTCTAAATGCCTCCACTGCACCGTTTCATCCCCTCCCACTCACCCACCCCACCTTCCCAGCCCAAGCTCGAAGCCTACAGAGGACTGGGTTCTGGATTCTCTACTACAGAGTTCCCATGCATTTCCCCTCAACCGCAGCAGCAGCAGAGCACTCGAGCAGAAACTAGCAAGTCCAAAAACCACACTAATAATCTAATTCCATAGGATGGAACCATGACAGTTAAAGCTACAGAGTTCCCATGCGTTTCTCCTCAACTGCAGCAGCAGCAGAGCGCTCGAGCAGAAACTAGCAATTCCAAAAAACCACACTAATAATCTAATTCTGTAGGCTGGAACCATGACAGTTAAAGAGCTAGCACGAGCGCTGTAGCGCTGTAGCGCAGAAGCACACAAGGACTCGTCTTAGATAGTCACCTTTAGGATAATCTATAGGTGACAAACATTTCTGCAGATTCCTCCCGGCCACAGCACAATTTAGGCACAACTCTTCAACCATCTCTTCTCCCTGCATGTGCTCGAGGGCTCTCAGCTGCTCAGAGTTCCAATCCTGCTGAAACCACCATGATTACATGAGTGTAAAAAGGCCACTTGAAATGATCATGCTCTCCATCTCCTCTTTCTTCTTGTAACTAAAAGTAACTCGTTTTGCTACCATTGAACAAGAAGAAAGGAACAGCCACTATTCTGACAAGTAACTGCAAGAGTAACTGGCTACAACTTCAAGACTCAAGAGTTGCCATTCTAATTAGTTACTTTTTAACAGCAACTTTTTTCCAATCTTTGCCTAGCACATGCCTTCACATGCATGCACCCCTGCAGTCAGACATGGTGCACAAACCCCACAATGGCCTGTAGTTCATACTCCGTATTCACCTTCTTGCAGAAGACACATGCTAAAAGCAGGTTTTTAATCATTAAATGTGATTTAATCCGTTTTATTTGGGCTTAACTGGGCTTTTTAAGCAACTTAGTGTGTTTTGCGTTCTATTATTTTAAATGCCGTGAGCTGCCTCGAATCCTCTTATCGGGAGAAAGGCGGCCTATAAAGAAAGAAAGAATAGTGGTTCTTCTCCACATAAATTTTCCTTGCTTTTCTCTTTGGTAAAGGGCGCTTCCTCTGATGCCAAGCCTCGTAAAAAATAAACCAAGAGCTCAGCAAAGTTTCCTTGCTGTTGCTTAAAGAAGCAAAGGCTGCACCGAGCCATGTGTTTGTTGACCTGCTCCTGTGTCAGGGCTACGCTGCAAGGAGGCTGGCTTATCTTTGCTCCCTTTCCCAGTTAACCTCATTAACTGGGAAAGGACAGGAGTCCCGAAGAAGGAGCAACCCCTGGCATTTATTTCTAGAGGCAGAGAATAAAGGAAGGGGGAAAGGAAGACTTTCAAATGTCTTGAAATTCCAAGGCTGAAATTCACAATAAACTGTACTTCGCCCGCTGCCTGCAAACTATGCAAACCACTGCTATCTCTCTAAGGAAAGAAAGGAGCAAAATCTGAGATAAGGAGCTTTTGTCTCCCCGGGAATCAAGCAAGAGGCTGTGACCAGGAGACGATTCTGCCTTCTCCCGGGAGGGGAGAGAGCCCGTTTCCACCAGGCGGTGCCACGTCACAACAGAGCCTGGCCCTGCCTTTCATAAAACGCCTCTGCTGAAGCCATTCTTCACACACAACAACAACAAAAAAAGGAACTTTGTGTGCCAGAAACTTCAAGATGTTTCCCCGACAAACCCTTCGCCTGTTGCTTTGTTAGCCCAGCCCCTCATCTACCATTCGATAATATGTGAGATGGCGCATTGTTGTTGTTTTTAAAGGAAGGGAAAACAAGTGTGCCTAACAATTTTAAGCTCACCAGAAGCAGTGTGGTGTAATGGATAGAACGGCAGACTAGGCCTCAGGAGTCCTGGGTCCAAATCAGGCACAAAAGCCTAGTGGGAGGTGGCAATCGTAAGCCACTTTTTGAGCATCTTACGTACCTCAAAAACTCCATAACGGTGTAAGTCAGAATCCGTTCCCTGGCAACATTTGAAGTCTGGTGCATTGTCCCATCTGATCAGAATTCAGCCAAGTTATTTCCCTGGACTACAGCACCCAAAATCCCCTGCCAGCATAGGAGCTATGTTTGAAAACTCTGGCAGCAATCCAGAAAGTAAATTTTTTTCTAACCTTTGTTCCCAAAGAACAGAATTCAGAGAAGGAAAATAAACCGCTTAACAGAGGTGCAGGCCTTAAGGCACCTCATTTCTTCTTGAGGGTGAGGACCCACATGTGAGCCTATAGACAGATGCCTATAAAGTGGGATCCCCTTATTTGTGGGCTCAGTATCCACTGACTCACACATCCACGGTCTGAAAATATTAAAAATAATAAAAGAAAAATCCTAGAAATATATATTTCTAAAGACGAAGTTATCCAAACTGGCCACTAGAGAGAGACAGAGACCATGCTATGTACTGTTGTTGTTTAGTTGTTCACTCGTGTCAGACTCTTGGTGACTCCATGGACCAGAACACGCCAGGCCTTCCTGTCTTCCACTGCCTCCCGGAGTTGGGTCAAATTCATGTCGGCCGCTTCGGTGACCCTGTCCATCCATCTCGTCCTCTGTCGTCCCCTTCTCCTCTTGCCCTCACACTTTCCTAACATCAGGGGCTTTTCCACTGAGTCTTCTCTTCTCATGAGAATGCTATGCTATGTTTAGCATTTGCTATAATCTGCAGTTTTCGGCATCCAGGAGGGGGCATGGAAGCTGTCCCCTGTGGAGACAGGGGACCTACGGTAGCTAGGCTGACCGAACGGCATTACAAGACACTCTCATCTTAACCATCAAGACCTACGGTAGCTAGGCTGAAGGGAGCAAGAGAGAAGCGTGAGCCACCCAAACGTCATTACAAGACACTCTCATCTTAACCATCAGTAAGCCAAGGGATGAAAGTTCACAGTTAAAAGGCGCCGTACCTTTTAAGCAGTAGAGAAATAACTGCACAAAATGTTCACCAAAGCTTTGAAGCTAGCAACGGCGGAGAGCTTGAGACCTCTTTTCTCCCCTCAACAGATGAAAGGATCTGTGCTTACACCGATGAATCCATGGGGATCCAGCCACTCACCCCCCATCACCACCCCCACGGCTGCTTCTTTAAAGCTCACAGATGGCAAGTGTTTACACGGCCTCCGTTCCTCTCTCCCACCATCATCATGTGAGCCATTTGGCGGTGGGGGTGGGGGTCAAAGCGCTTTTAAAGTCATTGCTTCCAAAACGGGTTTCGGTCCCCAATGTGTGGGCCTTGGCCAGTGGGAGGTTCCAACATCATTGTCTCCCGGTTCTTGAAATAATTAGCACATTAGCGTCCAGCTGTCCGATCCCCAGCAAAAGGATTAGTACGGAAACACCGTTCATTTTGTACATTTCGCAGGTAAATGTCCAGAATCCTTAAGAAGATGTTGGCCGTTTTTTCTTTTGATGAGCGTTTCTAGAAACAGCGGTTTAATCAACACACATCAGTAAACTTTAGCAGAGAGGATAGCAACCAATATACTGTATATAGATGTAGC